CTTCCTTCCTTCCTTCCTTCCTTCCTTCCTTCCTTCCTTCCTTCCTTCCTTTCTTTCTTTCTCTTTCTTTTATCTTCCTCCCTCCCTCCCTCCTTCCCTCCCTCCCTCCCTCCCTCCTTTCCTTCCTTCCTTCCTTCCTTCCTTCCTTTTCTTGCTTTCTCTCTCTGCTCCTCTTCCACTCTTTTTTTCTCTCTTCCTCCCTCAATCTCTCACCCCCCCCCCACGTCTCTGCAGTACTAGGGCTTAAATTTAGGGCCTTAAGCTTGTCAGACAAGCACTCTAGCACTTGAGCTATGCCTCCAATCTTTCTACTTCACTTGTTTTTCAGATAGGATGTGGTGCACTGTCTTCCAGGTCCAGCCTTAGATTGTAATCCTCCTACACATGCCTCCTGAGCAGATGAGAATGAACACATGTTCTACCATACGCAATAATTTGTTTTCTTGATAAAAAAAATTATCAAAAAAGCACTTACAGTGTTTCACTTGTTTGCTACTGTCAAGCAGTGTAAACCCAGAAGTTTTTGCGCTTGACTATAAACTTATCATTAGCAACTAATGTAAAACTATCTTTGTTTTTTCAAAATCAATTTAACTTGACATACATTTCATAGTAAAATGTAAGTTGTAAAAGAATTATTTCAAGCAAATCAGTCATATATTTTTATTCTAGACATAAGCTAATGTGCAATAAAACAGATAAATGCATATTATTTCTGAATAATACCAGAAACCACTTGTGCTGTGTAAAGGGCCAAATATTAAATACAACTACTAAACATTTTGGAGCTAGAATCATATAATCAGGCCAGACAAACACCTGAAATTCTCCTACATAGCATAGAAAGTTGGAGGATATGTTTATTGCATTTGAAAAACAGTTACCAAACTGGAATAGTGGATATACAATATGATTGTCAGGAGTCTTGTGATATAAAACCAGCTGCTTTCATGTGTAGAAATACTAATTATTTTACATTAGTAATACTTCTGATGCTATAAGACTTAGTCATGTTTTTCCCTTGTGTTAATTTGACCCTGGGACACAAAATTATTTAATCTATAATACTCCATTTTCATATTTACTTAGACAATAAAAAACATAGACTGTGTGTGTGAATACAAACAAACACATACACACACACACACATACACACACAAAGAAGGGCTGGCAACATAGTGGTAGATGAATGCCTTACATATATAGAGCTCTGGTTTGATTCCCAGCACCACACACACACACACACACACACACAAATGTCATTCAATTTTAATTTTAATAATACATGTTTTATGTTAACATATTATAAGTCACATCTGTATTCTATTCATATAAATTCTTGTGAAATATTCTTTCAATGTCTATGCATGCAATTTGTGATTTCCCCCTATTTTAGCTATCTTGGGAAATAGCTTTCAACTGAATAGTCTTTACATTTTGACTCAAAATGTCTGATGTCAAACTCTAATCAAGGATAATTCTCTAATATTGACTATCCTGTGTTAGTTTGTTAACAAGGGTTGCACTGACTGGCACTGAAGGGTTACATTGGGGCAGGCAGGGGAAGGTGGGGGGGCGGGGAAGCAATGGCTGCTTCTGGGATCCTGGCAATGGCCACCAAGATGGTGCTGCCCAGACCTCACTCTAAATAGAGCTGTTATCTCCAACCTAATAATCTGCAAGGTCCTCTCCTGCTTCACGTACATGGGGTTATGTAGGCTCTCCTTTTCCTAAGATGACATCTTATTATACTATAGTTAAGTAAGATACTGGGAGCTATACTTTAAAGCTTCCAATGTCCAAATAACTTATTGTAATACTGGTTTTAGAGTCTAAAAAATGTGAAACTTTAAGCTAACTGGACTACTTTACTTGCATAGTAGCAGACGGATGTTGTGGTTCTTCACAATGAGTGCATTTCCATTCTAGGAACTGCAATACATTTGGAAAAGTACTTTGTGTTGTGAAGTTTACTTGAACTTTTTCTTTAAAACCAAAACCTTCTTTCAATCACGGTATAAGTTATGGAGTGAGGATAGCAATTCTATATCTACTTGACCCAAGAAATTTCATGAATTTCCTTTTCAGTTAATTTTCTTATGTGTGTGTGTGTGTGTGTGTGAGAGAGAGAGAGAGAGAGAGAGAGAGAGAAAGTAAAAGAGAGAATGTGTGTGTATCTATTGTATTTTGTGTTTAGAAGAGCTTCTAGTTTCCATTATAAGAATTTAATTATGAATGTGATTTCCCATTAAACATATCACTTCATTGTGAGTTTTGGACCATCCACATAGTAAGTAAGCATTCAATATATGTTCATTTCACATTTGTTCTTACATATCAGTTAGTTTTCAAAGCAAAATTTCACAATAAAAAGCCAAATATCTTTTAAAATATGTCTCAGATTAACTGATTGTAAGTTAATATGTACTTTAGATTTTTTTATTTATTTAAGTCATTTTATGCTTATCAAACATCCAACAGACCATTTTTACTGACTGGTGGATTTTTAACCAATCATGGTACCCACATTAAAAACACTAATATTGTGATTTGCAGAGATTTGCATAGAAAACCCTATAAAATAGCATAAAGTAATGCAATATATCTACTCTTAATTGAAGCCTTCATCAAGCATAATATCTCAGATCTTCCCTTTGGTCAAGAAAAGAAAAGTTTCCCTTCCCTGAACACTTCTCCTCAGGCCTCCAGTTTTCTTCCTTCTGAAATAGACACAAGTTTTCCAACTTGAAATGTTGGGTTAGATGAATGGCATTTCTAGGCACATAACATCAAGCAGGTTTAGAACTCGATAGATTAATTTTCTCTGCCTAAACTCGCATCCTCATCTTCTCGTGTCTCCCCACCTGTTTCCTGCTGTCTCGTGTTCATTTCAAATGAGAAAAGAGAGAGCAAGTTGATGGTGCATCTTACTTCAGAAATGGCCTAGAGATAAAGTAAATAGGATTGCTTCCCCTGATGATAAATGCCAACATTTTAAAACAGAATCTACCAAAGAATTAGGGGATTGGTATTATGGAAATGGATTAGGAAAAGGTGAGTTCATTTTTGTTCCAATCTGAAAGACTTTAGTTTTTGAATAATCAAAAAGCAATTGTTCAAAGAGCTCACTATCTAATAAAGATGTGATTATGGTTGTACTGCTCTAACTCAAATAATAAAAAAGCAATTATATTACTTGATAGCCCTTTAAGATACATATTTGTTATTTTTATTCAATGTGGCTTTTTGGGGGGTCGAGCCAGTGTTGGGAATTGAACTCAGATCCTTGGGTATGATAGACAAGTGATTTACCACTGAGATGCATTCTAGCCTTATTTGTTATTTTTAGAAAAAGAATTCTAAAACCTAAGGGGATAATATCTAAAGAACATTTGAAAATATTTTTTAGTATATCAAACCAGGGAATTTATGGGCTGAGAATTTAGAAAGACAGGAAAATGAAGAGGAGGAAAGCCGATGGCCTCAGCCCACAGTCTTTTATCTCTAAATGAAGAAAGTAACCCAAGAATATCATTAAAATACAACATTTCCTCTAAAAGATGAAAAATATTTTATGGTGCATTCTTAAACCATTGCATCTCCAAGAACTTGCCAGACAAAATAGCTAGGGGAAAAAAACCAAACAATTTATCCTGTGAATGAAAAAAAATGCAACAGCAAGAGCCAAACAGTGTTGTAATTTCTCTCTATTTGGAAATGAACAGACATGGATGCTCTTGGCTGGCTTTGGTTTACCTACATTGAAAAGAAAGCAAGTTCTACCATTATGTTGGAAAACTTCAGTCGTTCAAGAGAAGTCAATCTCAGTGGTTGCTGGCAATGCTGTGCAATGAATCAGCAGATCTATATTTAAATTTTAGGATTTTATATCCCAGACATGAGACAAACAATTCTAGTTAATGAAAAACAAGTGAGTGGAAAATAAAATCTGTACAATTCTGAAAGTCTTGAGAGTACAATAAAAGCAATCACTGGCATATGTATAGCATGTGTTTATAAAGTTCTCTTCACACATAGAATTTTCTTTAGTCCTCATAACACCCCTGTGAGGTGAGGGTACCAACTCCATGGTAGAGACAATGAAATGGACTTTGTATTTTTAAGAAACATATCTAAAGCCATACAGTTAATAGTGAAGGAATCGTGAGAAGATGTGGAGCAGTTCTTTTCTCATTCGCTTTTTCCTAACTTCACACCTGCATCTTCTCTACACTAACATGGTGGGAGTATTTCTATCTGACTCACTTTCTAATTGTTGGATCCAGATTCACCAAATATGAACATAATATGGCACAGGACATCTTGTTACACCAGTCAAATATGTTTACAATGTCCAAGAGAAAGTCAACAGATGACCTTAGGCAATCATGTTATAGAAAAGCTGACACTCCTTGTATAAATCTGATTTTAGAACAATTGCAAGTGGGAAGAAAAATTGTCACTGTCTTGGACAGTGACATTTTTCTCTAACATTCAGCAACTTAGTAATTATATTTTTGCAGCCAGTAAAACCTGAAGAACCTAAAGAGGGCACTGCCAGTTATCAAGTTATAATTTTACATTCAGGGTGACATATAAAGTGTAACAGAACTTGGTAATTTTTACTCTGAAGTCATCACCCTCCTGACCGATATGTCTCTCAAATCTCTAGCAAGGAACCCAATGGCTAATTACCATTTGGAGTTGCATTCGATAAAGAATAAATGGATTATATCTGATGGAAACGTGATTTCTCTGAAGTCTCTCCTAAAGCGTGAGCTCACTTTGTTCAGAAATAGTGCATCTATGACACTTCAACCAAACAAGCCTTACTTATGACTTAAGTCAAAATATCAAATGAACCAACCACAAAATATGAAGTCAGGGTAGTTATGAATTCCACAGAACTCTGGTTGTATTTCTGGAACTCAGGCCTGCACATTTCAGGGTGGTGTGTTTTTGTATTTACATTCTATATAAAATAATTCATAGTTTTTGGTCATAGTGATGTGGAAAACACAACTAGAAACAAAGTCTTGTACCCAATGAGTTGATTTCTGAGTGTCTGATGTAAGTTTGTTCTTATGATTTCTAGCTGGGCTCAGCTAATGGATCAACAAGAGTCAGGCTGCATGAGTTAGGCCTCAGGTTGATACAGGAATGAATTTGATGGACTTGGAAGATTTGGGTGAATCCTTCCATGTGCCAGTACTGTTTGTCGGACTTCGGTTGTTGGAATAAGAAGTCTGTCTTCTGCTCATACTGTCGGTATCTTCTTTGTGGAATTGTTGCTTCATGTTTTGGCAGCATGGGAAACTTTGCACACAGTCTTGCAGAAGGTGGCCACTGAAAAACATGTATATCCAGGGATTGCAGCAACTATTCAAGGAAGCCAGTAAAGCTGTAATGGTGATGGAAGGGTTTTCTGAATCTGTATGAAAAACACACGGAGAGACAATAAAAGTGAGAAATCAAGCACTGTATAAACTCATTTTCCTAAAGACCAAAGAGGAGCTAAAAAGGTTCTGAGTTAGTAGAAAATATAAACTAATAAAATAATGTTTCAGAGAAATGGGTGTTGTTTGTAAGATGCTTGATTGTAAAATAGTTTTATAAAAATGATTTGAAATGAATGAAAAAGCTTTTAAACCATGATTGGAACAATTAAATACCATTTCAAATGGGAATTTGAAGAGGGTAAAGCTATGAAATGGTTCACTTAAAAAATCTGTATACTATCCCTTCCCTTCCACAGGCACAAGTGCTAATAGACAAAGCATTTACAGAACGGTTCACAACTTCCATGACACTTTAAGTCTCTAAATACCTATACTATGTTGTATATATACATATTGGGTTTTGTTTATAGTTTTAAAGTTTTAAACTTTGAACATATGCTTTTGATATGGAAACTGCACAGAAAAGAAGAATGCAGCAAGCTGTTGTGTTGTCTTCTGTGGATAATTAGACATGTGGCTTGCTTTTAGGAAAAGACCATCTTTGGGGCTCAAATTATAATAAGACCAGAAGAATTAAGAACGAGTGCAGGAGAATTATGAAATATTTAATGCTAATTAGCATTGGTAAACCACATAAATAGCACAACTTTTCAGTGAAACTATTGCATTCATTATATACTTAAAAATATCATCATTGAGTACTGACAATTACTTGTCTAGTTTATAAATGTGGCATTCTCACCCACAGTATAGCAGACTGAATTACAGATTGTTTATTTTTGTGTGTGTGTGTGTGCTAGATGCTGCTGCTAATGATGATCATGGCCCATGGCTACAACAAAAACAATAGAAATACTCAACACATCTAGGTGCAAAGGAAGTTTTAGTAATTGGATGTCAATCTCAATAAAACAAAAGACTCAAGTTTTTTATTTGGTTGTTAATATTAGAGGTTTCTAAAAATCAAGAAAGCAAAAAAAAAAAAGCCAAAAAAAAAAAAACAACCAAGAAAGCCAGGACATGGTAAACAAAAAAAATGTAGTTAACATTGTGTTTGGCATTAGTGGTAATGCGGCATACAAGAACCTTCATTTGTTTACATCAACTTCATACACCAATATGGTGTATGAATCCAATCTCAATCATAAAACATGAAAGATAACCTCTCCCTGATATCTGTGTCTTCAGAACATTTGCTATCGAAAATATTTCTGTAGTATATTGGGTGTGAAAAAACTTTTTCTTACTAAAATGAAATTCAAAATAGGAAATTTCTAACGAGCCTAAGTGAAATTTGTTTTTTTGTAATTTCTAGCTGTGAAGGAACTAAAAACCAAACATGCTACTATATGTAGAGAAAATTCCCAGTAAACTCTATTGCAAGATTTGTGTTGGTGTGAGTAGTAAGTGGCCAAAATAATACTGAAAGATTAGGGAGTTAGTTTAATAAGTTAGTTTATTCATAGACCTGCTTTAAAATGGCAGGAAAAAGGAAATTATCACTGGTAGAAAGACTGACAGAATATAGTGAATATATAAACAAACTTATTAAAACAACCCCCCCTTGTACACAGAATTGAGGTCTGCCAAAAAATTAAAACAAGAAAAGGAGCATGAACTAAATGCTAATTTAGAAGTCTTGACTTATTAACATCCTTTCCTCATTATTCCCAGGAAAGTATGCCCCTCTTGCTCACCTTTTTCCCTGGAGAATTTTTACACAATCAATTTGTTGTGATATTTTTATAATCCATTAAAAAAGTAGTCATAACAGTAAAAATACTTCCTTGAGTCCCATGAGACCCAAAAGTAGGATATTCACACAGTAACTAGTTATTTGGCAAAAGGTCCTTATTCTGTTTTTCTAAATGAAGGAAGGACTCTAGGACATCGTGTCTGGATTTGTGGTCTTAGGACCTTGAACAGTACACCTGAACCCATTGCAGACACACTGAATTATAATGTCTACCATGTCTAGAGTGGAGACTCCAGGAATTTCACATTTATTTATTTATTTATTTTTACTCCTCCTCCTGAATGTGACTGGTATGCATGCAAAGGTATATACTATGCAATTGCTCTCTGTCTGTCTCTGTGTTTTTCTTTTTGTCTCTGTCTGCTCTGTCGTGTCTGTCTGTCTGTCTGTCTGCACAACCCCTCACTCTCCCTTCCTGCCTCCTATTACATAGAGTCCTTCCATGGTCCCGAGCACCTACCGGTCCAGATGAACTTCTCATCCCAGACCGACCACATCTGGATGATGAAGAAAGGCGCCCAGCAGAGGATGTAAGCGGTCACAATCACAAAAGTCATCTTCACCGTGCGGATCTTGGCGCGGGAAATGGTCTTCACGCTGCTGACACACGGGGCCACCAGGAGTCCCTTGTGGAAGGCGCTCCCCGCTTCCCGGGCACCCTTGTTCTGGCGCGAGGCGGTCTTGCCTCGGACGTTGCGCCAGATGTGGTAGCAGATGAAGCCGTAGCAAGTCCCCAGGATGGCCACGGGGGCCACGAAGATGCCGCTGGTCATCCAGGTCACGTAGGCGCGGGTTCCCCAGGGCTGGATGAAGGTGGCCCAGCAGTCCTGGGCTTTGGTGACATTGTTCACCTCGATCATGGAGAAGATGAAGTACTGAGGCGTGCTGAGCACGAAACTCAGCACCCAGGAGGCGGCAATCATGAGGCGCGAGCGGCGCGCGGGCTGCTGCAGCGTCTTGAGCGGGTGGCACACGGCGATGTAGCGGTCGGCGGTCATGACCACCAGCATGTAGGCCGACGCGAACATGGCGAACACCTGCAGGTGCTTCACCACGCGGCACAGCCAGTCCGGGCCGCGGAAGCGGTAGGTTATGTCCCAGCACAGCTGCGGTAACACCTGGAAGAAAGCGACCGCCAGGTCCGCCAAGCTGAGGTGTCGTATGAAGAGGTGCATGCGGGACGTCTTGCGCTGGGTGCGGTGCAGGGCCAGCAACACGCTGCTATTGCCCAGCACGGCCACCACGAAAGTCACCGCCAGCACCGCGATCTCCAACTTGGCCAGCTCCTCGTTGCGCACGTCCTCCGGCGGCCCGCCGCCTCCCCCGTGCCCTTCTGTTTCTTGGCTAGCATTAGCACCTTCGGCAGCCACGGGCCACCAGCGGCTACGGTTGCCATCGGCCCCCGCGTCGGAGCCTCCGGAGAAACTCATGCTGTCCATGCAGTGACCTCCGTCCGAGACGCTGCTGGAAATCCCAGCGAGCAGCCTTGGACTTGGGATCTGTGCGCCCAGCGCGCTGCCTTTGCTGCGCGCGCCCGCTCGCCTGCGCTCGCCCGCCTCGACCTCCCACCCGGCCCCCTGAGCAGCGCTCCTTCCCGCGCTCCGATCCCTCTCCCAGCTTTGCCCTTTTGCAACTCAGGCAACGCGCTCCAAGCGGCTCGGGAGCCCTGGACTCCAAACTCAACTAATTTATGAGAGGGTTGGCTTCCTCCCGTCTTACTGGCTGGAGATGGTTCGGGCCTCCCTCCCGCCTAGCCCCTCCCCATCGCCGACGGCGATTTGTCCTTTTTGCCTCCCAGCTGCTGAGATGGAGGGCTGGGAGCCTTCGATTCCTCCACACTGAGGGCGGGATCCGGGGACGCTTTCCCGCTTCTTCTCTTTCCCACACTTGGAGAACTGGCCGTGTCTCGCCTTCCGTGAGCTCTTCAATGTTCTCACACCTCCATCAGCCACCTCAACTGCACACTAGATTTCAACAGGTGCAGTAAAAGCGGTGCATAGCAACCCCGCGTTCGTGCACCCGCGTGAGCTCGCTCCCGCACTTGAACTTGGCGCCCTGCCTTCCCCCCTCCAGCCCGAGTTTCTTCTCTGACCAATGCGTCCCTGGACAGCCAGTGTGGTTGATTTTATTCCCGAGGCAATTTTGCTCCGGGGAATGACATCTGTCCCCGCCCCGCTCCTGAAGCCCTCTTTCTCAGGGACGTCTGAATGCTTGCGACTTGTCACTCGACCTCCCTTGGGGACTTGTCACGCTCCGCCCTTTGGTGGCGGTGCGCGCCGCCAAAGGTCTTCAGGCTGTCCTGACGCACTGTGGTGACTAGGGACTAAGAAAGGTTTCTTAAAACAAGGTTTCGGAGAGTTTCTTCCGAGAGCCTGATTGCTACAGCAGTGATGGCGGGAACTGGGAGGCCTTCATCGGTGAAGACTTCGTCATTGGAGACTTCTTTGGAGTGGAAAAAGACTAGCTGCCAATCAGCATAAAGCCACGGCAATACTGTCCAGGGCCAGATATCCAGGCGCCTGAGCTCCAGGAATCTTCAGGCGCAAAAGAGGCGCTAGGAAAGAAGGAAGAAAACGTTTTCTTATTAATTATTTACTTTGGGTAACAGCAGGAGTCTGCCAGGGACCCTAGGAAAGGGCAGGAATCTATGTGACCACACGTCTCCAACTATTCGGTTTTGACTCTGGTGAAAGCATGCTTTTATAGACCGCAAGAGGGAGCTGTTTCCAGGCTGTCTTTACCAGAAAAGAAAGAAAAGAAAAACACTTTATGTGGTTATCTGCCAAGGTAGAGGTACAGACCTGACTTTGCCCTTCAGACATCTGTATGTAGTGACCGAGGTATAAATTTGATTATCTTAGAAACAAAAATTAGTTCTGAAATGAAGGTAAAAGCAAACCCCTGAGGATTCGCTCCCCTGCAGTTATCAGTTCTAAATTCAATTTGTTATCCAAGGGTAGTCACTTGAGGAGTTACTGGACTTGAAGCCTACAGATCTACTTCATTGTGGCTGTATCATAAACACGGGGAAAAGTATCTGTCCTTTCTAATTGTGATATTATTGGGAGGATCAAGGGAGATAATGTGGGGAGGGGGGAGAGGGAGGAAATGCCATGAAATGGAATTCATGGGCGCTGTCCCTCAGCTCTTCAGCTCAAGGCTAGCGCTCTACCACTTGAGCCACAGTGCCACTTCTGGACTTTTCTGCTTATGTGGTGCTGAGGAATTGAACCCAGGGCCTCATGCATGCAAGGCAAGCACTCTACCACTGAGCCATCTTCCCCTTCCCTTCCCTTCCCTTTTAATAAATTTTAAAATGTTTTTTATTGTAAAAATACTGTACAGAGGTGTTACAGTTACATGAGCAAGGTAATGAGCACATTTCCTATCAAGCATTGTTACCTTCTCCTTTGTTTTTCCCCTACCCTCCCTTCCCTCCCACCTCCACAACTACACTGCCCGCCACTCCCCTCAACCCCCTCTCTGCCTAAATTGTAAAGTTCATTTTTCAACATAGTGTCTTGTACATCTCATTGATACAATGGGTCAACCTGTATCCGTATTTAAGCATTTTATTTAATAGCAACAATACTGTTATAAGCCTCAACAAATATTTGTTGCATTTCTCTGAACTAGGTCTTAAGCTGCCTATACAGGATGTAATGACTAATATTTATAAACCACTTTGTTCCAAGTACTGACACAGGTACCTTACAAGTATTACTTCAATGAATGGTCCTATGCTGTAATTTCACTTCACAATGACAGAGATGGAGGCACAAGAAGGTGACACATGCTGCTCACAATTTGTACAGAAGTAAACGATTTTAGCAGTTTGTATCTTAATCACGATTCCGTACTGCCATATGTGAATCTCATGGTCCTGGTTCTTACAGACTCATATTGATTATTTAATATTTCATACACATATGGTCTTTTCCTCTTTCAGAGTAGAACATTCTGTAGTATTTGTACTTGTTCTTTTTTCTCTTTTTGCTCAACTAGGGCTTGAACTCAGGGCTTCATCCTTGCTAGGCAGGTGCTCTACCATTTGAACTATGCTTTATATGTCTTTGGTTTTCTTTTGGGCAAGACAATTACAAGGCAATGACAGTAATAGTAGGAATAGTAGTAGTAGTAGCAATAGCAGTAGTAATAGATAATATGAACATTTAGAAATGTCAAGTAAGCTCTTACATGCCTTAAGTTTATCATTTCATTTCATTTTTGAGATAATTTTATATGAACTATGTGTAAGGATGGTTATTATCCCATTTTATAGATGAATAAGCAACTTAACCAACACCACAGGGTTCCAAGCCACTGAGTAGGAGCTACCTATAGGTCCATTTGAACTTAAATAAATGCTAATTTCTATTTTTAAATATTAAATACAAGTTTTATTATTTCAAAGTCCTCAAGAAAGAACTACAGAGCCAGTCTTTCATGGAGGCAGAAATTTTTTAACTAGGAAACATTGGTTAAATAAATAAATAAAAGCTCACAGCTTTAGTACTGTAAATCCATATCAATAGACGACTTTTCTTTTTTGTTGTTTAAGCTATGAGACCAGAGTTTCTTCTTAGAAAAATAATATGACTTTTAGAAAAAATGTATATTAACTATGGCATAAATGCCTCAAAGTGGGATTGATGAGCCATAGGAGCTCTATGTGGAATCTTTTGAGAAACTTCCATACTGCTTTCCAAAGTCGTTGAACAAGTTTACACTCCCACCAACAATGCAGTAGGGTTCCCTTTTGGCCACATCCCCTCCAGCATCTGTTGTTATTAGATTTCTTAATTATAGCTATTCTAACTGGGGTGAGGTGGAATCTCAATGTTGTTTTGATTAAGTTTTTAGCCCACTTATTTATCAGGCAGTTGTTTCTTTGAGGATTTGTTGTTGGGGTTTAATTTTTTGAGTTCTAAGTATATTTTAGGTATGAGACACTTGTCCATTGTATGGCTAGTGAAGATCTTCTCCCAATCCGTTGGCTTTCTATTGATCTTGCTAAGTATGTCCTTTGCCAACCAGAAGCTCTGCAATTTCATGCAATTTCATTTGTCCAAGCTTTCTTTGATTTGTTGTGTTTCTGGGTCTTTATTAAGGAGCCCTAGAGTTTCTCCTGTTCCTTCCTGTAATGTTTTCAGGGTGTCTGCTTTGACTTCAGAGTTTTCGATCTATTTGGAGTTGATTCTGGTGCAGAATGATATAGAGGCATCTAGCTTAAGTTTCCTACAGGTGTTAGGCTGTTTTTGCCAGCACCATTTACTGAGGAGGCTGTTTTTCTTCCATTCTATTTTTTAGCTACCTTGTCGAAGATGAGGTGGCTATAGGTCTGTAGGTTCATTTCTGGGTCTTCAGTTCTATTTCATTGGTCTCAGGTCTGTTCTTGTGCCAGTACCAAGATGTTTGGATTACTATGGCTTTGTAGTAGAGTTTGAAGTTTGGTATTGATTCCTCCAACACTGTTCTTTCTCTGAGGATTGTTTTTGCTATTTGGGGTCTTTTATTGTTCCATATGAATTTTGGAGTTGCCTCTTCTATTTCATTGAAAAATGAGGTTTGGATATTGGTAGGTATGGCATTGAATTTGTAGATAGCCTTTGGCAGTATTACCATTTCAACGATTTTAATCTTCCCAATCCAGGAGTACGGGAGTTTTTTCCACTTCCTTAATTCTGCTTTAATTTGCTTTTTCAAGTTTTTAAAGTTTTCATCATACAGGTCCTTCACTTCTTTAGTTAATTTAACTCCTAGGTATTTCATTTTTTGTGGAGCTATTACAAAAGGAGTTGCTTTCCTGATTTCAGCCGCTCTCTTCTCGTTATTGGCATACAGTGAAGCCATTGATAAATGCTCATTTATGCCAAATGCTTCTCATACACAGAACCTAACACATCTTTGCAGAATGAATGAATGAATAAATATTGTTATAGGAATGACTTTCCAAGAATTGTATGAATATGAAGGTCAGAAAAAGCTTGGTGACTAGAAGAATGAACAATGATTGTTGGGAAGCTACCCTTGAGCACATGTCGTCTCTGGAGAAGGATGCCAAAATTTATGTTTGGAAAGGAAGAAATGTCTGTAGTCAACTCTCTGCCTTGCAAATCTTGAACTGATAGCATACAAGTAGTTCCAGCTACATGTTAGTAGAAAAATCACTCTGATGAAAAAGATTTCCTAAATCAGTGCTATTATAATCATATTTTTGGAAAATCAGCTTGCATGGAAAAATAGGTTGATTGATCTAATTAAAGTTTGTTTTCAAAATTTTAACTTAAAAAATGGTTGAGTTTAACATTTTTGGCCGTAGGAAATGAATGCGCCATTGAAGTTCCTGAAAAATCATTGCCAGTACCTTGAATATTCTGTCTAGAATTTGGTAATCTTCAAGACTGGTTAGCAGACTAGCAGATTACTTGTATAATCGAAAGAAAAGAAGTCTTTGTTATTAAAAGGATGTAATTTGTTGGGGTTGCTTATGTTTTTTGGATACTATTTTTTGTACAATAAATAAATGTTTTATAGCCTTTCTTGCTTGTCATTTTCTTCTTTCTTTAGATTGGACAGGATTAGGTTGTAAGAAACATTCTATTTATGTTCCTTTTTTATTATTTTATTATCTTTAAATAGTTGAACAAAAGAGTTGCCATTAAACAAAACAGTTTTATCAAT